ACAAAGTGATCAAAAATTATTTCCAGGGGCTGGAGCGATAGCACAGCGGGGAGTGTGTTTGCCTTGCACGCGGCTGACCTGGGTTCGATTCCCAGCATCCCATATGGTCCCCCGAGCACCGCCAGGAGTTATTCCTGAGTGTAGAGCCAGGAGCAACCCCTGTGCATCGCCAGGAGTGGCCCAAAAAGCAATATATATATATATGTGTGTGTGTGTGTGTATATATATGTATATGTGTATATATATTTCGATAAAAGAAAATTTGTGAAAATTGCTGTATCTCACCATTGGGACATTAAGTCCATGTCTGAGGATTTACTAAGCTATTGTTCAAAGTTAAACCTTCTCTGTTAATGCTTTTGTTAGTCCAGATTGGTTGGCTTTTCCATTATATCTATCCAATTGGTGTGCTACTCTTGGGATTCAGTGTTGCAGAGTTTGGAGACGTCAGCTATGCGATCCAGAAAATCCAGAATATTTAACTGGGCAGTGCAGCTGGGGGCAGCTTTGGGGTGTGCGAGCACCAGTTCTCATAGTTTTGACACCTGGCATCTCAACCTGTCACCTGATAGCCGTTTTTGAGGCTGTAACATGTTTTGAGGGAAAGATCAGTTCCCCCCCAACCCCCCCATGGCTCCTGATTGGTTCCCTGACCTCAGTGACCCGGACCCGGTCTCTCTAGCCAGGGCCAGACACAGCCCTGGTGGGACCCGTAGGCGTTAGTGGGACTACAGACCAGTGAGGCTGTCGGAGCGTGCACCATTCCCGCCTGACGGTCAGCCTGGGAGGATGTCAGGAGCACGTTCCCAAGCAGTGGTCCAGACAGGACTAGGTGGGAAGGCCAAACGTGGCACATCATAGCAATTTTTTTTTTTTTTGCTTTTTTTGGGTCACACCCAGTGATGCTCAGGGGTTACTCCTGGCTCATGCACTCAGGAATTACTCCTGTCGGTGCTCGGGGGACCATATGGAATGCTGGGAATCGAACCCGGGTCGGCCATGTTGACTGCGTGCAAGGCAAACGCCCTACCTGCTGTGCTATCACTCCAGCCCCTGCATCAGAGCAATTTTTACATGTGTTTTAGACTCAGAACCTCTTTCTGGGTAAGCACACCCTGTCTGTGGATCACCCACTGGGAGCCAAGGGCACAGGAGGAAATTGTTGGAACAGTGCTTGTGCCTCCCTGGGTTTGACCTGGGAACTGCTCCCAAAAGAGTGCTCATTGTTGCGCCACAAACGGCAGTGCTCAGTGCTTAGTCCTGGCTCTGCACTCAGAGTCACTCCTGATGAGATTGGGGAAACATAAGGGGTGCTGAGGAACGGAACCTGGGTTCATCGCCTGAAAGGCAAATGCCCTACCCGCGTGCTCTCACTCTGGCCTCCCAAATAATAATTATAATCTTTTTTTTTCTTCTTTAATTTGGTTTTGGGGCTACACCCAGCAATGCTCAGGGGTTACTCCCGGCTCTGCACTCAGGAATCACTCCTGGCGGTGCTCGGGGGACCATCTGGGATGCCAGCGATCGGACCTGGGTGGGTCATGCTCAAGGTAAGCTCCCTACCCACTGTGCTGTCGCTCTGGCCTCCAGAATAACGTTTCTTATGGTCTATTCCTTGACAATTTGTGCGTGCCAAGTGCTGTTGGAGATGCTGTCTCATGAGCACCTTCCCCATTCCCACCCCTGCGTGCGTGCCCCAGGGATGGGGTGTGGGTGAGCCTTGCCCTCGGGAGCTCTTGCTTGTGGAGCTGTCCTTTATCTGGGGGTTTGGGCAGGAGGCCCAAGGCTTTGAATCATCACTCGACTTCCGGGTCTCCACTTCAGAAGCGACTAGCTAGTAAAGTGTTGCTGGCTTGAAATGTCTGTTCTCAAAACACTTTCTCCTTTTCTGTCTTCCTGCATCATGTACAGAATTATATTTAGTTGTCCTGTGTACGTACAAGTGATAGATAACTATAAAGAGAATGAGGCTAGAGAGATAACACAGTGGGTAGGGCACTTGCCTTGCACATGGCCGACCCAGGTTCAATCCCCGGCATCCCATGTTGTCCCCTTAGCACCGTCAGGAGTGAATCCTGAGTGCGGAGCCAGGAGTAACCCCTGAGCATCGCTGGGTGTGGACCCAAAATTGAAAAAAATAAAATAAATCCAAAAAGAAAAAGACCAAAATGTATGTTTGTACTTCCCTGACTTTTTCGTTACCTAATGGGTAAGCAAAATCAAATAATAATAATAATAACTTTAGAAATTAAATAGTAAACACAGGAAGAATTTCCTGCCCTCCTCATCAAACACAATAATCTGCATGAAAACAACCACTGATACTTAAATAAATAGACTAGGCATGCCACGTGCCTCACATGGAGGACTGCTGGCTGTGCCGGATATTGTGCTGAGGGCTGACAATATTAATACACAACACAATAATAACCACAATTAGGGCTGGATAGAGTACACAGCATGTATCCGCACAGCAGGAAAAGCACTTGCCTTGCACGCGGCCAACCCGGGTTTAATCCCATGTGGTTCCCTGAGCAGCACCCGAGTGATCGCTGAGCACAAAGCCAGAACTGCTGGGTGCGACCCAACACCTCCTCCCAAACAATAATAATAACTGTATCACTGTCATCCCGTTGTTCGTCGATTTACTTGAGCGGGCACCAGTAACGTCTCCATTCATCCTAGCCCTGAGATTTTAGCAGCCTCTCCTTACTTGTCTTTCCCATCGCTGCTGTATCGGAGGTTCTTTCAGGGTCAGGGGAATGAGACCCGTTATTGTTACTGTTTTTGGCATATCGAATATGCCACGGGGAGCTTGCCAGGTTCTGCTGTGCGGGTGGGATATTCTCAGTAAAGGTAAAGGTAAAGGCCCTCCCGTTGATCGTCGATTTGCTTGAGCGGGCCCAGTAACGTCTCCATTGGAGCGATTCTCAGTAGCTCAATAATAATAATAGCAACTATAATTGGAATTAGCTAGCTGGTGAACATGAGCCAAACAGAACAATGAGCATGGATGCGCTGGGTCCAGTTAGCCTTCGATCTCTACTAGGTGGCTGACAATCGGGTGGACATTGGGCGGACATTCTGAGTACTTTTTGAACAAGGAGTCCCCACATTTCTATTTCTCCTGGGGCCCACAAACTGTGGAGCCCATTCTGAAGGCCAGAATCCTGACCTTCTGCTTGATGTGACCTTAGGCTGAGCTTCTCTAAACCTCAGTCTCCCCATCTGTGAAATGGGAGTGGGTGGGGGGAGGTTAGGATGAGGAGTTTCCCTCTCACTGTTTGCTTTCATGCTCTCGGTGCCAGAATTAATGGTGTATAAGGAGGGTTTTAGAGGTGACTTGTGTACCCCAATAGTTCTGTTTCTTTCTTTTTTTCTTTTTTCTTTTTGGGTCACTCCCGGCGATGCACAGGGGTTCCTCCTGGCTCTGCACTCAGGAATCACCCCTGGCGGTGCTCAGGGGACCATATGGGATGCTGGGAATCGAACCTGGGTTGGCCGCATGCAAGGCAAACGCCCTACCTGCTGTGCTATTGCTCCAGCCCCAAACCCCAATTGTTTTCAACAGAAAAGTGAATGGACCCTCGCATCTTGGGGTGCCCGGAGTACCCCCGTGGCTACAGCACATGCATCTGCAAGCTGGCCTGGGAGGAGGTGGGCACGAAAGACTGACCCGTGACAAGAACACCCGGGCAGTTGCTGGGGAGGAACGGGAAAGCAAACCCACAGTGACAGAATCCAGGCCCAGCGGGCGGCAGCTTGGTGGCTGGTGAGCTCAGGGGACGCCTGTGCCAACATGCTGTGCCCCGGGCAGTGAGGTTTACGCTGTGCTGGGCAGAGGCTGCGGGCTGAGTGCTCCCTGAAGTTCCACACGGTGCAGCTCAGGCCCGAAGTGTCACTCCAAGGCGACTTGTCCTGGGCGCGAGCCGGGGGATGAACACCCACAGGAGCAAAAGCCACTTTTCCCCAGGCACCGACCCTGATTCTTGATTTTTTTTCTATTTTTTTTTGTCACACTCAACGGTGTTTGGGGCTTCCTCCCGGCTCGATGCTCAGGGACATTCCTAAATAGTGCTCAGGGGGTAGGGGGTCAATCCTGGCACGCTTATAAGCAATGTAAGTGCCTAATCAATTCACTGTACTTCTGACCCTCCAGTGATTTTTTTCACCTGGGGCTGTGTTCAGGGGAATCACGGGGTTCCCAAGCCCCCCACAAGCAAGGGCTGTGGCCAGGCCCTCGGATCCCTCTCCCTGCCCATTCCCCACTGCAGCAACCTCCACCCCCTGCACCCGAGATCTGTCCAGACCTGGTGACAGGACGGACATGCCCTGGCCCTCCATGACCACCAGGTGGCGCGATGGGCCAGGTGACGCTGAGGCTCACAGGCAGCCGGCATCCCCCCACCCTGCACCCACCCCATTGGCGGAAGTGACACTTCCACAAGACGGAGGGCGTCCACTGACCTGCCTTCAGCTCAGGTTGGCTCCAAGCTCTGAAGCTCCTTCTTCCAGCGGGGCTCTGAGGAGAGTCCAGCCCACCTGCGCCATTGGGTGGAAGTCCCAGGGTCCCCCAGCCCTGCATGTGAACCCCATGATCTCAGATAACGTGGGAGGGCTGGAGCATGGGTTGCTCACACACACCCTCTCAGCTTGAACTCTGGGCCCCCGCCCAGGGCTGTGCTGTGTGCTGTGCAGGCATCAGGCTGGGCATGGTCCCCACCCACACCGTGGACTGACAGCTCTGGGATCTGAGAGGCAGGGATGGGAGTAGTGGCCAGGGTCAGCATGTCAAGTCAGAGCTGTGTATGGTCCATGGAACTGGGGTGGCAGAAAGGGAAGAGGATGACGGAAGGGCATGAAGATGGATGCAGGCCCAAGCACTCCCCTGAACCTCCCTGGCCCGTGACGCCCGTTTCCAAATCCTGGGGGATACGGGGCTTTTGGGGAGAATGGCTTCCAGATGAAGGCCAGTCAGTGGACGCTGTTGGCAGCGAAGAGGGATTCTTTTAAGTTTATTGAACCAAGGACTGGTGGTGCCAGGCTGGGCTGGCAGGCGAGGACAGTCTCGCTGTGCTGTGGGCGTCGGAACCAGCCCCACACAGTTGGCTTCCACCCATACCCCCCTCCCCACCCGACACATCCCAGGACATTCCGGTACAAAAGTGAACAAGCATAGGGGTTTCTCCGCCCTTCTTTTACAAATGACACATTTCCAGCCCCTGCCAGCAGGGGGCAGTGGGGGTGGGTAGGAGGTGACAATGCACTTAAAAGGCAAGGGGACCACGGAGAGCTCTTAGAAAAGGGAGGCAGGAGCAGGACCTGGACGTGAGATGACTCCGGGTGGGGGTGGGGGACGTCCCACGCCCGTCTCCTCCCTCCTGATTCTCTGCAGAGTGACTGGCTGAGTGCGGGAGGCCCCTCGGACAGGTGGGGTTCCGGGACCAGCGTCTACTCCTAGTGGGGCCCCATTAGGACGGTAGCTCAGGGTACACTGGTGCATTTCAGTCTTGTTGCTGGAAGACTCGGGGTGGGGGGGGAAGGGAAGCTGGCCGGGCTGTGATAGGCGCGACTGAGGCGTCCAGAGGTTCAAGAGGTGAATGGATTCAGCTTGTACCTCTCTGCGGTCCCTGGACCCAAGCAAGTGCCCTTTCTGGGCCACTGCCCGTCTGGCCACCAACCCTCCCGTGGAATGAATGGCAGGAATGGTACAAGCGGCAGAAGTGGGTCCAGAGCTCCGGGGAGGTCAGGCAGGGACAGGGCAGGGTACGGGTCAGAGCCGTGCTCTTCACCGGATGGGCTGCAGCCGTGAAAGGTCCAACTCCATCGATTTAGAGGAAAGTGCACAGGAGCCTGGCTGGGATGCTGGCTGGGGGGTGGGGGGGGCCTGGCTGGGGTGGTGGGGGTCTCATGGGAGGGGGGAAAGAGAGGGGGCTCTGTTGCTGCAGCCATGTCCCATGCCTGTTTCCCCGTCTGTCACATGAGGAGCTGACTGGACTTCCTGTAACTCAAGTCCGACCAGGGATCGTGGGGAAAGTGAGCAGTAGGGCATGGGTGCCAGTCCGAGCAGAGCGGACCAATGGCAAACACGCACAGGGCCCCACCACGGACCTGACCCCTGCCGCCAGCAGCATCGAACCTGGCCCTGGGGGGGTGGTGGGGGGAAGGCCCAGGCCCAAGGGAAGGCACTTCGGGGACACGTGGGGAGAAGAGCAGGGGACTGCAGTCTTATCTGGCATCACCCACCCTCCACTTATGGGCTGGGAGGCAACCGAGGCCACAGGGCGACACTCTGCTCTGGCGGTGGCCCACACAGTACCCCCCCGGCATTGGCACATGACGAGAGAATCGCCCTGGACGGCAGTCTGCGAGGTGGCCCAGGAGGCCACGCGATTTGTCACAAGGTGTCGGGGCCCCTGAGGGCTGATTCCCGCGTGTCCACACAGTGCAGGGCCACCTTGGGGCTGGAGCCGGGCTGGCGGGGGTACGCGCCCCCCCGCACCAGGCGCCGGCACTGCACCCCGTGGCCCAGGCCCACGCTCTGCAGTGCGGGCAGGTGGCGCAGCAGTGTCTCAGGCAGGGGCAGCAGGCCCGTGCCCGCCAGGTCCAGCTCCTGCAGGGAGTCCAGGCCCGAGAAGACCTCAGCGCTCACCCACTGGAGCTGGGGGTTGCCCGACAGGTCCAGGACCTGCAAGCCGGGCAGCTCGTGGAAGCCGTGGGGCTCCAGCGGCGGGCGGCCCTGCAGGCTGCCCAGGGACAGATGCGTGAGGCCGGCCAGCCCCGGGAAGGCACCGGGCCCGATGGTGGCCAGCGGGTTCCCGTCCAGGTTCAGATAACGCAGCGGCAGGTCCCGGAGGTCGGGCACGGCCCGCAGCCGGTTCCAGGCCAGGTTGAGGCTCTGGATGGTGGGCAGGGGCAGGCGGGCATCGCGGGGCCGCAGCAGGCGCTGGATCAGGTTGTGGGACAGGTCCACGTGCAGCGCCCGGCCCGGGCCGCGGGAGGCGAAGGCGGACATGGCCACCTCGCGCAGCCGGTTGTGGCTAAGGTTCACATCGCTCAGCGGGGAGCCGGCGAAGCTCTCAGGGGGCAGTGCGGCCAGCCCGTTGTGGCTGAGGTCCAGCGACTCCAGGTAGCGCAGGCGGGAGAAGGCCGTGGGCGAGATGCTGGTTAGCAGGTTGTGGCTGAGGTCCAGGCCCGCCAGCGTGGTGTAGCCCGGCCCGGCCAGCACCGACTCGTTGACCGTCTCCAGCCGGTTGGAGGACAGGTCCAGGTGGGCGGTGTCCAGGGGGATGGGGACGGGCACGATGTGGGGGCCCAGGCCGCTGCAGTCCACTCGGGTCAGGCTGAAGCTGTCGAAGAGGCCGAAAGTCTCCACCTCGCACTGGCAGCCCGGGAAGCAGGGGCGGGTGGGCTGGGCCCCGCTCACGGCCAGCCACAGCAGCGGGGACAGCAGCAGGGCCCACGGCATGGTGCCTGCCAGGGAGAGAACCACGGGTGAGGCTGGCGGCAGAAGAAACCCCAGCCCGGACATGCAGCACAGCTGCACCTGGTGCATCCCTCTGGAACTTTCCAGAATGTGCTAGCTCCTGCCCCTGTTCCTCTCTGTTCTTTCCCACCTGCCAGCTGCAGGGAGTGAGGTCAGCCTGGTAGTTTGGGGTCTCTCTCTCTCTCTCAAGTTTTTGGGTTACACCCAGAGGTGCTCAGGGCTTACTCTCAGCTCTGTGTTCCTGGCAGTGCTCAGGGGATCCTGTGTGACGCAGGAGGACAAGACCGGGCCGGCCGCCACATGCCAGGCCAACGCCTCACACCCCGTATCTCTCCCCAGTCGATGGTTTTTACACTAAAAGCAACAGAACTTTTTCTTCCACGTGCTGACACCACACGCTGTGCGACCCCACCTTCCAGTGTGAGCGGGTGGGCTGGGTGTTGGGCACATAGGCCCGGACATGTTGGATACCCTTAGTGGAGCCCAGAGATAGCACAGTGGTTAGAGCACAGGCCTTGTATGTGCCCATACAAGCACACAGTTCCCCATACAGCCCCGGGTCTAGCCCTGGGCATATCACTGGAGATAAGCCTGGTGGTCCCTGAGCACTGTCTGGGTGCCATGCCCGCCCTGGGCACTCACCCTGATCTGCAGGCCAATTGGCCGAGTATTGCTGGGAGTGGTAACCGCACCCTTGAACACTGCCAGGCAGCCTCACTCCCCACCCAAAAAAAAGTTTTTTTTTAAAAGTACCAAACACAAGCGGCACAGCTTCAGCAGAAGTGAGGGTGTGGCCTGGAACCTTCCATACCTGCTCACCATCTCTGCCACTGGATGGCTAAGGGGCCAGAGAGACAGTGAAGCGGGTAAGGCACTTGCCTTGCATGTGGCCAGCCCAGGTTCAAGCCCAGGCACCCCCAATAGGCTCTCCGGAGCACCACAAGGAGTGACCCCTGAGCAGAGAGCCAGGGGGAAGCCTTAAACACTTCCGGGTGTGGCCCCCCAAGTCAAACAACACCACCCAGACATGTGTCAGGGAGCCCAGGAGGAAGCCCCTGGGTGGGCTGGTCTGTCCACCGCGCAGGGGGGAGGGTGAGAACTGCTGCTGTTCACTCTCCTGGAACCCGAGCCGTGACCCCGTGGGACGACGCTGCTCTCGCCAAGTCATGGGCACTGGAGATAGGGAACAGTAGAGGCAGAGCCCAGAGGCAACACGCGCCCGGAGCCCACCGCCGACTCCCCGGATGGCCACAGCAGGGGTCACAGTCTAGCCTGCTCTGGCTGCCTCCAAAGGCCTCGGGAGGGGCTTCGCAGATTCCCATCCCAGGTGCTTGTGCCCCCACCTCTGTGCCTTTAACCACGCAGGTGGCCACACTGGCCCCTCACTACAGACGCAGCCGCAGAGACTCAGAGAAGCAGAAGTTCTTATCGCAACCCCGTTGCATGGGGCCGGCCAGGCCAGGCAGAGGCCCGGAGGGCTGGAGCCCCGAGTCCCCTCCTTAGCACATGGCGCCCACCAAGTGCCACCAGGAGCGACTCCTGAGCACCTCTGCATGTGGCCCCTGAAACCAAGGCAAGGTGGGCAGGACCGGCATCTGGCTGCTGGGGGCACCACAGGCGGGAGTGTTGGCGCCTGAGACGGCTTTTCCCGCCGGCTGCTTGGAGCACTGGCGTCCAGAGCCAGGAGAGCTGGGGCCCCTCTGCGGCTGACACAGTACCTGAGTGCTATCACAGGGCACCCGGCCGGTGCTCCACTCCACGGGGCTGGCGGGAGGCTGGGACGGGGCTGGGCGCTGAAAGCTGCGACTGGCCACTCCGGGCCACTCACCCCAGGCGCGCAAGGCTCGCCCCAGCGGGCTTCTTATCCAGGGTGTCCTGCTCCACTCCCCCTCCCACCCGTCCTGTCCCCCGGGGAGGAGGGGGTGGGCCGCGCCCGGCCCACCTCTGGACTCAGGTTTAGCCGGGGTCACGTTACCAGCAGGGCATGAAATTTTAACGGGAGCCACTTGAGCTGTGCCCTGGCTGCACACCAGGGCAGGGAGCGGCACCCCCGCCATGGGCCTCTCCCCTCCCCTCCCGCCCCTTGCTTTGAGGAGACCAATTTGTGGATTAAACTCAGCCCAGGTGCATCCTGGGCTTGGTCCCAGCTGAGGAGGAGCTGAGTGTTCCTGCGTCTGCCTCAAGAAGGGAAATACTGCCTCCCTTCAGACCCCTTTTGTTCCCTGGGGGAGCCCGTGTGTGCGGCTGGGGGCTCCCTCCTGGCCGGGACCCCGCCTCCCCTGCTAAGCCGATCAGCTTCAGACCGACCCTTCCTGGGGTTTAGACAAACACCCAAAGGCCGTGACCGCCGCTGGGTGGTTATACAACATGCCTATTAAATGTCCAGTGCCCCTCACGTGGACTCCTGCTTATGTAATGGGCCGCACACACCCCACCACCACCACCCCGTGCCCGCTCCTGGCCTTGGCCACCCTCCCTACAGGGGGCCAAGTCCACCCAGCCTCCCCTGGAGATGGTGAACCCCACACAGTGCCCTCAGCAGGCCTCCACAGCCACGGCGAGGACCACTGGGACCCAGGGGGCAGAGCTGGGACATGCTCAGGGGACAAGGCCATGTGGGGCCCTGCCTGGGGCCCTGCCCCCTCTCCCAGACAGTCGCCAGGCCTCCTGGAAGGCCTCCGGGTAGCCGGGCTGGGCCCGTGTTCTCTCGCTCAGCCCCAGGTGTGAGGTCAGCAGTCTCCTTTTGTTTGTCTGGGGCCACACCTGGCGATGCTCAGAGGTAGCTCCTGGCTCTGGCGGTGCTCGGGGGACCACGCGGGGTGCCGGGGTTGGCGCTGCATGCGAGGCGGATGCCCTACTGTACTACCGCTCTGGCCCCCAGGTCGGCAGTCCTAGACGCACTTTGGCGTGGAGGAAATGGAGGACAGACGCAGAAAGAGGCAGGGCCAGGAAGAAGCGTGTTGTATAAGCACCAACCCTGAAGCTTCGTCATCGTTTGGTTCACGCTGGAACGAGCACTTCCTGTGTGTCCGGGACGAGAAGAGAGTGCCCAGTGCCCTTGGGCGGACCCAGGGCCACCAATACCGGGTGGCCCTCTGCTCAACGACTTTGGGGTGCCTGGGCTCACCCCCAGCCTCTCCGGGGTGTCCCACCTGGAAGAAAGGACAAAACCCCCTGCAGCTCCATACCGCGGGACCCAGAAGGGGCAAAGACAGGTGTGGCTGGTGGCCTGGGAGAGGGGCCCTCCATCCTGCTCAGAGGATTCATCCTCTGGGGGGTGTGGGGGGGTGGCTCTGAACAGCATTCCTGGGAGCCTCTGGGGATGCTGGGGTCTGACCTGCTGCTCCAAGTCCTTCAAAGCCCTTGGAGGAGGCAGGATGCTCTCAGGGCGGGGGCGTGGCAGCGCTGGTGGAGTGACAGTACAGCAGCTGACGCTGACCTGGGTTCAATTCCCAGCATCCCCTAGGGTCCCCTGAGCACTGCCAGGAGTGACTCCTGAGTGCAGAGGCAGAAGTAAGCCATGAGCATTGCTAGGTGTGGGCCCAAAACCTGCCCCCCCCCCCACAAGAAAAAAGAAGAATGTTCCCAGGTAGGGGGACCTGGAGGAAGATCCAGAAACTGCCGCGGGCTCTGTCCTGGACAGTTCACAAGCCCTCGCCTCACGGCTGAGGGAGGGCCCAGGGCAGCGAGCACTGGGAGCGGGTAGTGGGGTGGGGGGTGCTCAGGCTCCAGGCGCCTCACTTCAGGCTGCTGCTGAGCCCCCTGAAGACCCCGCAACCCACAGACAGGAGTATCGGCAACCCCATGGAGGAGCCCCTAATGCCAGGGCACCGCACCACAGGCCAACCTGCACGCTTGAGAAAATTACAACTCTGCCTTTAAAAAAACAAACCAAACCCTACTTTTGGAAAGCCTCAGAGAAAGCACAGTTTCCCCTCTCTCCCCCGGGGTCGAATTGTGAGACTGTAACCTGCTGCATCTTTCATTGTTTCCTAGTGTTGTTCTCTTGTCTTCTGAAGGTATCAAACTCAGGGCACCGCAAAGGGCTCCCTGGAAGATTCCCTCACACGGTCTCTGCGGGGAGAGCTGGGGGCCCCTCCCAGGAGCTCAGGGCAGTCAACAGTGAGGCGGGGCGGGTGGGCCTGCTCCCAGCGCCCATCCCCCCCCCACCCTGGAGCAAACACACCTGAAATGAGGCATTTCTGATGGGTGCCCTCCGAATGCTTGGAAAGGCATCCCTCACCCAGCTGAGCCGGAAGCCCAGCATCTGTCTTTGCCCTCTCATCCTTCCTTCTCTCTGAATCTGGGATGGCAACAATGGGCCGGACAGCCCAAGACAAAGTTATGGAGAGGACGGAGATTCGGAACTCTCAGGGAAATGAAGCCCCCGGTTGAACAAGCTGGAAAGACTGTCTTCTCTTCCTTCTGCTCCACTCCACTGCACCCCTCAGCCCCCAGACGCAGCACCCCTCGGATCCCAGACAATGCAAACCTCAGCCCCCAGACACTGTACCCTTCAGCCACCAGACACGGCACCCCTCAGCCCCCAGATGCTGCACCCCTCAGGCCCCAGCCACTGCACCCCTCAGCCCCCAGACACTGTGCCCCTCAGCCCCCGGATGCTGCACCCCTCAGCCCCCAGACGATAAACCCCTCAGATCCCAGACACTGCACCCCTCAGCCCCCGGACACTGCAAACCCAGCCCCCGGACACTACAAACCTCAGCCCCTGGACACTGTACCCCTCAGCCACCAGACATGGCACCCCTCAGCCCCCAGATGCTGCACCCTCAGCCCCCGGACTCTGCACCCCTCAGTCCCCAGATGCTAAACCCCTCAGATCCCAGACGCTGCACCCCTCAGCCCCCGGACACTGCAAACCTCAGCCCCCGGACACTGTACCCCTCAGCCCCCAGATGCTGCACCCTTCAGCCCCCAGACACTGCAAACCCCTGGACACAGCACCCCTCAGCTCCCAGACACTGCA